ACAAAGTAAATATATAGAATTTTAAAATAGCATATTCTTTATAAAAACGGAGGGGTACCTGGGGGATCAAGTCCAATTTCCGGCTCTCTCTCACAGCCTGCATTCCCTAAATCCTGCTCTCTCCCACAGTCCTCCTTCCCTAGATCATGCTCTTTGCCACAGTCCTTGGCGCTGGCTTGAGAACCACTCTTTTGAGGCGATCGCCAGTGCTTCCCAGAAGTTGAGGCTAACACAGTACCTGAGGGATCAAGTCCACAAATAGCAGATTTGATTTATTTTACAATCTGTCTTCAATTCAACCATAAATTAGAGGCTGTTTTTTAGAATGAGACGGGTACATGAGGGATCCGGTTCAATATCCGCCTCTATGCAACAGTCCTCATTTCCAGTTTCCTCCTCTGTACCATAGTCCTTTGCGTTGTCCTGAGAACCACTCTTTTAAGGTGATCCTCGGGTCTTCCTTGAACTTGAGGATGACACCGTGGTTCCCACTGTGAAATCTATTATTTAACAAAGATAAGGTTAATATTTTCAACAACTGAATCAAATCTTTGCTCTTCGATACAGATCAACTAAATATAACACAAATATATAAATGAAAGTTAAAGAAGGGTACTCGAATTGAAACAAGGATGGTTGACGATCACAAAGGTACTAAGGACAGAGGAAACCAGTCAACAACTGAATGAAATCTTTGCTCTTCCAGACAGATCAAGTCAATGTAACAGAAAGATATATATGACTGTTAAAGAAAGATTCTCGAATAGAAACAAGGACGCTTGATGATCACAAAGGTACTAAGGAAAGAGGTAAAAGGCTTGGCAATTAGCAAGAAATAGAATTTCAACAAAATATTCAAAAACGCTTTTCAACCAATAAACCACAGATACAATTCTATAGAGAAATCGAAACCCTTAACCCCATAAGTAGAAAACAAAACCCCAGAAATTGATACAATTAGCCCCATAAATCATTCACATTTAACTTTCCTCAACCACAAACTTTGAACATCTTCTGGACAAAAAAATTTCATCGACATAGATCTGTAGTGGATAACACTTCTGGAAACGAGGAATAAAAAACATGAAAAATCGTTGCCAAATCATTGATATCAACAAGAAATATAACCAATAAGTACCTTCGTCTTCACAGAGACCCTGTAATCCAGCTTTAGTGGCTGACCTAGTACGGCCCCTCATTTCCAGAAGTGAACAAGCGCTGCCGACAAAAATGTCGGAACTATCTATACTGATAAATAAGGAAAGAGCACCGTCGTTGAACTTCAGAGCCTATTGGTTGATTTTGCACAGTGTCGTTTCGGCGAGATTAGGGTGTTGCTTGGGGAAGGAAGGAGAAACGTTTTGAATCGTTTCGGCGAAACACGATTTGTGAAAGGAATAAAGTTTTGTATTTTAATGAAATGGCAACAAGGTAATTCTTAAGTGTCAAAATAACTGTCAAAACCGCAAATATTCCCTTTAAATTGCGTTAAACCAGCATTCCAACCATAACCAAACCATACATCATCCAAAAATAGAATCACACCCTAACATGTTTCTAAATACCATAACTAACAATTTCTAAATAATTCTACCATATTCCAAACAATCCAACGAGTCCATAGATCACCCCGCTCTCCACGCCTTGATTCTACGGTCACACTTTTCCATTACCTGCATCACAGAAAGAGATGCATAAGTATTTCCAGAAATACTTAGTGAGTCTATAATCCAAACTATTAGTCTATACACACAAGCAATATCAACCATAATCAAGTAATATCAACACACAAAACACGCAATAATCCAACTCTCAGTCGGTGCTGACAGCTGGTGTCGATTGACACCCAATGTACGCACATGATTGCCAAAATTATTTCATTATTTTAAACTAAAGATGTTATGCCAATATATATAGTCAAAATGTATTATAATTATAATTATTTGGTAAATCTAGATTTATAGCCAATGTACGCACATGATTGTCATGTACGTACATAGAGAGATGTACAACATTTATTGTTAGTCTCCATCTTCCAAAAATTAAATTTGTTAGACTGTTCACCACAATGTAGAATCATCCAGATAACAAAATATTAGAATCATCCAAATAACAAAATATTAGAATCATCCTGAAAACAAAATAAGTTATGCATCCTAAAACATATTATCCTTATGTTAAAAATACCAACATACGATTAGTTTAATACCCAGATACGAAGTCAATGCAACGGCCCTATAGCATGCTCATAGACATCAATCGCATACATCTTGTTGAAATTATCAACATCCTCCTCTTTTATTGTTAACAAATACGACATCAGATTCCCCATCATCAGTAGTTCTAAAAACTTCATGGAAAATGGTCCACAATCTTTTGTTTTATCATTCTAAGCTAATCCATCAACTCTGGCATATATAAACGGAGACAGGTCGTACTCTTTGTCAATTACCGCATTGAGTAAGAACGGTATCATCTCAATGATAGGCTGAATGCACACCTTCACAACTGTATCTCTCGTCGCTATCACTAGAGGATCATAAATGTTAACAATTCGTTGTTGCAGACTTATTGAGACTCTGACCGAATGCCAAAGTTTCCAGTTCGTTGGTATGTATATCACATCAATTTATTCTAGCCACTTCAACTTTGGTTCACAAGGCATTCCTTCCCTATTAACAATGTCGACGAGGACTTTTCCCCATATGAAACTATCTTTCTTCTTACAATGGAAAAAGGAATGGTATTGTCTTGATAGCTCGTAAGGCAATACAAAATCCAATATGACGCACCTTCTCTTCTTCATCCACTCTCTGTTCTTTTGCCACAACATTAACGCAATCATTTCCAAATCAATACTCATGTACGTGTGCACAAAAAACAATATGTACGTATAATACAAATATCACAACAAAGTACGTATTCTACAAACGACATACACTATGTACATCTTTTAGAGAGCAAGTAATAATAATTACCAGAGTGTGGACCCAAGTTTGTGGTATTCAAGAATAGTGAAAAACTGGTTATCTGCTTTGCGAAATCCAAATTGATTGTGAATCATGCATAATTGGTTTAAACATAATTTAAATGTAAAACATTATAAAATATAACTTACAGTCAATGAAAAATCAAAATAGCAGTTACACATTATCTTCTTGTATTAAGTGGGTTAATTTGGTTAATTTAGCTACATCAACACTTACTAATGGCTCGTAAGAGAGTGTTCCAGCAGCAACCAAAACTTTTGTTGACACTCCCGTTTCTTTCACATTCATGGTCACTGTTTCTTCCCTTAAAATATCATCGATGAAAATCACTTTGCGCCTAAACAGCTTCTCGCCTTTAGTTGGAAACACTTCCATGTGTTGAATTTATACATCGAACTATCCACTATGTGAAAACATACATGCACTTTTAACTAATTTGAATTTCGAATCTAAGGTTTTGTTTTGTGCCTTAACATACAAAACATGTTTTTCATGCTTCATGTTGTTAATCCTACCATCAAGTGATGATGAAGTGGATTCCACGTGTGCGAAGACGTAAAACGACGTTTTTTAATCGTTAGAATAAAAAAAATTTTTTTGCTGCTGGCAATGCTCGAACCCGCACCACGTCCAAAACCAACAACCTCTCTATAACCACTGGGACATAACAGACTATTGAGATTTTGTTAGCAAAACTTTGATATATACATTTCCGTTTGAAGATTAAAATCTTTGATTATAAAATCAATCATATGGATTTTGAAATAACATATTAAATCTTTAGATTTAAATCCTTTTATTTACACTATCAAATTCTATAAAAAAAACATTTAAAACATATTGCGGATTCTGAAATCCAAAAAAAATCACTAAACGAACAACATAAAATTTTAACTAGTATTTATAAATCATAGTTACAATAACACATGATTTTGATAGTTGTTTTAAAATCAATGATTGAATAACATATGATTTTTATTTGAATTTCTAAACTTATTAAACTCCATGAACCAATAACCCCAAAATCCCAATAATATATTAAATCTTGAAAATAATATATCATTAAATTCCAATAATATAATATATTAAATCCTAATAATATTTTAAAATGTATTCTCATTAAATTCCAAAAATATATTAAATTTCAATAATATTGCTCAAATCTTCCGACGGAAGAGTATATATAAACTATTTGCTCACTAAATACCAATAATTTGTTATATCTGAGTGGTTATAGAGAGGTTATTGGTGTTGGCCGTGGTACAAGTTTGAGCCTTGCCAGCAGCAAAAAAAATCTTTTGTTCAACGACTAAAACGATGTCGTTTTACGTCTTTGCACACATGGAATCCACCTCAGCACACGTAGAATCCACTTCAGCATTACTTGAAGGTAGGATTAACAACGTGAAGCATGAAACACATTTTTGTATTTTAAAGCAAAAAAACGAAATATTAGATTCGAAATTCAAATTAGTTAAAAATGCATGTATGTTATCGCAGAATGGATAGTTCGATGTATAAATTCAACACATGCTGATTGTGCAGGTATGAAAAGCTATTTTTCCTCGTCATCTGTTTCCGGGTCGGGTCTGATAAGTTGTGTATAGCAAGTAAGGACACCATCAACAATTATTATCAGTGCTAGAGCTAATTTCTTCCACCCATCCATTTATTGTTGGTGTTGAATTTTCCACAAAAAGTGTTTCCCACATAGATAAACAGTCATCTTGCACAACAACCACTTCTTTCACAGCTTTCTTCTTGAGATATCGCCCACATTCAAGACTTGTTATAAGAGAAAATTCTCATAATCCAAATTTGATGGGCTGATCAACAAAAACCATCCACATCTAATACCGTTTTATATTTACCACCAAAAACAAATATTATGAAAACATGTCAAAAATCATAAATTGAAAATCACACAAATACGATTAATGGTAATAAATATCATACATTCAAAAACATATAAATTTTAAACTCTTACTCTAAGGTAAGAACCACTTACTTATAAGTTTAAGTACGTAGAAACCATTCAAGTCCTATTACCAAAAAAGAGGGGTTAAAGATAGCTGATACAACATGTTCATACATCTCAGAAGAGGGCACCACCTACAAGCTCCTCATCATCATTGTCTTCTTGTTCATGAGGCCCATTGGTGGCATTATTGGATTGGATCTCATCATCCATTTGCACATGTTCAGTTCCATCTTTGGAAATATTGGCAGCTTGGTTCTCCCCCGTTGTTGCTTGGAGGTTGTATGGTTACCGACGCACCTGTTGCATGAGTTGGATGAGACGACGGGAAAGTGTTTGCTCCACCTTCAGGTTTGCTCCACCTTCAGGCATATATTGTCTCATATACTCCACCACTATGGCCACCTGCTCTTGAAGAGAGGTGACTTGACGTTCAAGAGAAATTGTTAGTATATTACACATTGTAACTTCTAATATATAATAGACTTATGTCATTAACTTACAATTAACTCTCGGAGTTGGTCATAAGACCGGGCACCAGAAGTGTGAGCATGTGGGCCAAAACCATCACAAGGAGACTTCCGATTCTATGATGTTGTCTTGCTCTTCCTCTTAGCTGCGTCTGTGCCCCAATACTCCAACATTACTTCCCAAATATCTTCACTAATCCACTCAGGTTTATTACCTTAAGCTTTGGCCTTAGAGATCATGTCTCTCAGGCGGCCACCAATAGTGTGATACCACAAACGATACACTTCTGCCCCACGTACTTGATCCCAGTTAAAGGTTTGCTGCCAAAGGATACATACATGTTAAGTAATTAGTAAGAAGTATGGTTTATATATATGTTAAAATACCAAAAAGTAAACTGAAACGTGAGTTACAATGAAATCTCCCCAACATTACATAAGCCCATCATTGGGAACATAAGAGATGTTGTACCATGGACCATGAATATTTAACACGTGGATATGGAAAAAAACAAACATGATCCGCCTATGTTGTCAAAATGAATGGATCATAATTCTCATATACCCCTGATGTACAAACCTCAACAACACCATGTTCACGCATTCTATTACTTGAACCCAAAGTCGTATCAAACCAGTCACATCGGAATAATGTAATTTTTAATCCAACAGCGCCGTAATATGCAATTTCAATTACTTGTTGAATTTTTCCATAATAATTTTGTTCGCTTCAGAACTCCCACATATAGAAATACCGTAATTAGTTGTAGTCCTATTCATTGCATGGTTAACTGTATGAATGTTATAGCCTCGTGAAAAATATTCATTCCAACATGTAAATCGTCTTATTGGCCCTCTTACGAGCTTTTGTAACCACAATGGATACAAATAGATTTTGTATAATCACTTTGAACCTCTATAAAAGCATATAAAGTATCAACTTAGCTAACTAAATATTTATGCTAACCAGTAAAAAAAACCTTAAAATATTTATTTCAAACTTACGAAATTGTATAACCAGTTTTCATAGTCTCTTTCTTTCATAGTCGTTAACATATCTTCCGTAAGCCCAACATTCCTTTCTCTTGCATCATTATCAAATAATCTGCATAACTTATAAAAAGCAAAATAAATTGAAAGTATTAGTTCAAAATTTATATATATATATATATATGTGTGTGTGTGTGTGTGTTTGTTTTTGTAAAGATTAACCTTTCAAAGTGTCGCAATTCTTCACAATTGAGCAAAATATATGTATGAGCGATGTGGTTGTCATCATTACTTAGCCACTCAAAATATGTTTTGCCACTTCCACCTCCAACATGTATAAATAATGTTGGCACATAACACTGGTAAGTATATTGCTGAGAAAAACCACTAGCACCACAATTGAACCTTCAACACTTGCTTTGTTATTCGCCTTTTTCTTGAGGTGAAACATGAATCGTTCGAAAGGATACATCCATCGAAACTGCACCAGTCCACCAAGCTCTGCTTTTGTAGGTAAGTTGACAATCAAATGCTCCATAACATCAAAGAAAGAAGGTGGAAATATCTTCTCGAGATTGCAAAGTGTCTGAGCGATATAATTTTTCACACGATAAACATCGCTTATATTTAGGCATGTCAATTAGGGCTAAAGCCCGCGGGCTAGTCCGGCCCGGCCCTAAAAAACATCGGGTTCGGGCTTAAATATATATGTCCAGAAAAAACCGGGCCTTTTGGGCTAAGCCCATTCGGGCTAAAGGGTTTTCTGGGCTTAACCCGGTCGGGCTCGGGCTGGCCCGAAAAGCACTTAAATAAATATATTTTTATTTTTGTAAATATTGTAGTTTGAATAGAAGATTTGATTAATGAATTAATTTTTCATATTTACTTACTAGCCTTACTTAATACTTTTAAAATCATTATCTATCATATTTTCTATTATTAATATATGTCAAAACTGAACAAAGCTAAAATTATATATAGATATTGACTCTATCATCTACTTTAAAGTATTTTAGTTCCATATTTTATTGGGTTAAAGTGTAAATAATTTATTTAGTCTTCATTTTTTCTCTTAAATTAAGTTAGTTTTAATGAATATCGATAAGTTATTTAAATTTTGATACATTATTTTTATAGTATACTTTTAAATATTGTTTTTTAAAAACTATTATGAACTTAGAAGTTGATTTTTTATCGTTAGCTAAAGCACAAAAGGCCTGAAAAGCCCTGTAGCCCTGTTAGGGCCTGGCCGGGCTTTGAAATATAGGCTCGGATATTTTTCGGGCCGGGCCGGGCCGGGCTCAAATATATGAGGGCTTTACGGGTTTTGGGCCGGGCCAGGCTAGCCCGATTGACATGCCTACTTATATTCAAACTTCTTGAACAAATATCAAGGAAAAATAAGCCCACATCTACGGAAAAACAAGATTATTAAATTAAAAACATAATTATACTTGCCATAAATAATACATTTTACCTGATATTGCTTCATGGACTTCTGCTGGAAGGAGTTCATAGAATGCAAACGGAAATAATTGATGCATAATAACATGATAGTCATGACTTTTCAAACCATATATTTTATACCCTTGATCGATGTGTATGCATCTTCCTATGTTAGACACGTACCCATCCGGAAACTTTACCACATCCTTTAACCATTTAAGAAAAGCCAGCTTTGCATTGGCTGAAAATCTGAATATAGAAACTGGAGCTTTTCCATAGGACGTAAGATGTAGAGGTTTTCGATCACAATACAAAACCAAATCTTTCCGTGAGTTGATAGTATCTTTTGTTTTGCCTGTGACATTTAACGAAGTGTTAATAAGGTTATCAAAAAAGTTTTTCTCAATATGCATCACATCAAAGTTGTGGCGTAGGAGATGAGTCTTCCAATATAGCAACTCCCAGAAAATACTATGCTTATGCCAATGGTGAGCTTCGCCATATCCTTCGATCTGAATGTGTATATGATCGCTCCCACCACATCAACTGATTTTTAGTCCATAAATGTCCTCCAAGTAATATGTAAGGGTTCCTCTCCCGATCAATAATATCGCGCGGACTTCTGAACAGCAGTATCGTTGCGAAAAGACCTCTTGCTTTGTCGAAATGCATGATCTCGTGGCAAAAATATGCGATGACAGTCAAACCAACATGATGTCCGACCATGCTTCAGTTGAAAAGCATCAGGCTAGTCCATACAATACGGACACGATAACCTACCATGAGTTATCCATCCATATAGCATCCCCATTGTTGGAAAATCACTTAAGTCCACATTAACACTGCTTTCATATTGAAATTCTCCTTAACAGAAACATCATATGCTTCAACGCCACTCGTCCAAAGTTCCTGCAGTTCTTCAATCAAAGGTCGCAAAAAAACATCCAAACTCCGTTTTGGAAGGTTCCACCTTGGCACTTATATGCTAAAAGATAAATATTCTCTTTTCATGCACATATCGGGCGGGAGATTATACGGCGTGAAAATAATAGGCCACAAAAAATAATTACCGCCAGATGAACCAAATGGGTTAAAACTATTTGTACATAACCCTAGATATACATTTCTGCTTTTAGATGCAAACTTAAGATATAGCTCCTGAAAAATGCTGCCATGCCTTACCATCTGAAGGATGTTCCATCTTTCCATCTTGGGATGTATATTTTGCAAGCCAACTCATATATGGTGCTGACTTCTCCGACAGATACAATCGTTTTAATCGATATGATAATGGTAGATAGAAATCCTCTTATACGGCCTACTTAATGTGAGCATCAACTTTTCGGTTTCGTATTAAGTTTTGGAAGCAACGTTACCTTTATGTAGAATCTTATGAACTAAGTGTGACACATCATCGACACATGTTTCAGCAAGGTTGTTTTTCGTCTTTATGTGCATCACATCAGCATCAAACGAGAATTTTGTCAAGCCTTCTACGCAATTATCATAAAGAGGTTCACTTGCTGTTTTTAAACGCGCGAAAAAAAATTCAGTCTCAGCATTAGGGGCTTCCCAAGAACGTCATCAACCAGAGGTCATCCCAGTATATATAAAACAGATATAAATTAAATTAAATTATAAGATATATGTATATATAATACATACATATTGACATCAATTAGTTTAAAATATATAAATTTGATTTCATCAACAAATATACATGGACATAATTAAATTAAAATAAATTTCGTTAAATTAAAATAAATTTCGTTAAATTAAAATAAATTTATAGCCTCTTCATTTTTTTTAAAGATATTTTTCAATGTTCTACTACGTATGACACTTTTTGCTAATTTGAATTAAAATTAGTTTTTTTTTGGTTGGAAGAATAATACTTATATTAATAAAAATGTGTAATTTAAGACATGAAGATTAAATATTGCCATTTTCATACTTGCTATCATTTAACAAGAAAAATATTCCAAATTTAGCCTTATTCATTTCTATTAATTATTAATGCACAAATGACATGAAATGAATTTTAATTTTATTTGAATGAAAATATTGGTTAGTAATATTTCATTGTATCATTACTTTATATCTTTAATTCAAAATAGAAATTTTATTTTTCATTTTATCCAAATTGTTTTAAGAGATCTAGTGAAAGAAATATTTTGAAATATCAATATAGGTAATATATATTTGTAACTATGACAGAAAATAAGGAAAATAAATTAGTCAAAATGAGAGCAAATTTGTGGAAAAATAAAATGAGTAAAGATATATGAAAAAAAGAGATATGCGATTTTGATTTTAAAGAAGAAGCAAAGGAAAGCATATATAAGCTGAAAGACATTTTAAACAATAATTCAAAACACTATTGCCACTATTTGCTACAATTATTTTGTCCCAAAAAAAAAACTCTTCCGCCACTCCAAGTGACTAACTACTATGTAGCAAATTGCTACAAACGAGAGTTACTAAATACTGTGTAAGAAAATAAACGCTTTCGCTACGTTAAGAGACAAATTAATGTGTAACCAATTTGCTACACTGTAGTTCTTGCTTCTTGTATCTAATTGTTATCTATATTTTTTGTTACATACTGTATCAAAAATATAAGATTCCAATATACATTATTATATAATATTTATTCTATTTGTTACACGAAGTTTGATACAATATGTTGTCGTCTTTTTTGGTAACAAATTTGTGACAATTTTATTTTATTGCTATTAGTCACTAATTTGTGACATAAAATTACAAATATGGATCCCGACTACACCACCACGTCCACCTCAGTTACAAAACGAAGAAGAGGCGGCTTTACCAGTTCGCCTATTGATTGATCCGCACACTTTCCATTGGGATTCACACCAACTACATCGTTATATCGCTTCTGAGGACCATCATTTGATACAGAAGATATTTCTACCCCAAGTTCCTATGGTGGATGACTACCTCTGGAGTTATACTAAAGATGGGGAGTATAGTGTTAAATCTGGTTATTGGAAAGCCCTAAGTCTCCAAAGAGAAGAACACGCTCCAGTAGCACCTCTAGCAACATCTCCAGATATCGCAAGTACATTATGGCAACTTAACATCGCTCCAAAACTTAAGCATTTTCTTTGGAGACTCGCCTCAAGAGCTATTGGTGTTGCTGATAATCTACGCCGTCGTAACATAAATGTTAACCCATATTGTTCATGGTGCTGCTCGGACTTTGAATCCAGTGAACATGTTTTCTTTACATGCCCTCGAGTCCAACCTATATGGAGAATGGTTGGGGTTCCTCTGACCATATTGGGCGATCCTAATATATCATTAGAAGACAAACTAAGGTACTTATTTCGTCTCCATAATGATTCGGGTCTATCAATTTTCAAGAGAACATCTCCATTTTTGGTATTATGGCGCCTCTGGAAAACCAGAAATAATTTGGTGTTTAACCGGAAATCAACCACTACTGAGGAAGTCTTCAAATACATTTGTCTCGATACGGAAGAGTGGCTAAATCATCTTACACCACACGCGCCCATACCTACTACAACATCTAAGCCATTAAGCCACCATGCCCCTACACGTCGCAGTAAGTGGACACCCCCTTGCCAAGGTTGGGTTAAGTGCAACTATGATGCTTCCCATCATGAAGGTAACCGAGATTCGGGCCTGGGTTGGATCATCCGTGATTCACAAGGTACCTTTCTAAACGGCGGGATGGGGCGGTTTCAGGGTCGGTATACTGTTGCGGAAGCTGAATGCTCTGCATTACTCTAGGCGTTACAATCATCATGGGCTCTTGGTTACCGTTCGGTAGTTTTTGAAGGGGATAGCCAAACTTTACACAGAGCCCTACATAACCAGACTAACAACCCACGTCTCAAGAACTATGTCAACATGATTCTACAATGGAAATCAATGTTTAGTTCTATTCTTTTTAACTTCCAATTCCGTGAACAAAATTCATGTGCTGATAAACTTGCCAAATCAGCACTACTTTCACCACAGTTGTATGCTTTGTTTAATGTCTGTCCATTGTTTTTACATCCCTCTGTAAACAACGATTGTAACAACAGTTTCTAATAAAGTCATTGGAAGGAAAAAAAAAGAAAATTACAAATTAGCTATGTTGTTTTTAAAATTGTTTCTAATATCTTTCTTTTGTAACTTTTTAAGTCATAAATATTTTTCGTAGCAAATGGCGTAGCAGTATATTCTAAAAATTCTAGTGGTATGGCTTCACATTATATGT